AGCCAGGCTCCTCTGAGCCTCCTTCTCAACTAGGCCTCAACCTTGGCCTATAACGAGGACAGAGTCTGAACACAGATGATTTTATACATCTACCTCCCTTTACATTAAAGACTTAAACACTGACAGTTTTTAACAGCTCAAGGCTGCACTGGTAGGATGATTCCAGCCCCCCTTAAGTATCTGCTGGAGGAAGCTCATAGCTATCCAAAGAACTTACTGTTTATCATAGCTAACACCTAACCGTCCGCCCCTAACCACCCTCTCTTAGTGAGTTTAGGCTTACAATTATAAATCCTTTCTCTCTCCCTTTGAGATGTATGTGTATCTCCTACAAATCAAGAGTGTCTTTCCCAAGGACCGAAAGCCCTTCCTTTACAATGTAATCATCAGGAAGGATAGGGCCTCTGCCTCCCAAGCCTCTGTGAGGATAGAATCCTCACTCTGATACTTGCCAGCCACAGACACAGCTCTAGCATTTTCAGCATTTACGCTGATCACTCCTTGGTAATTTTGCACTTCCCTGACTCTATTTAAAATGCCCAGTCATTCTGTGCAAATCAAAGTTGAATCCATTCATGCTGGACCCTCTCCCCTATTGCAACAGTACGTTACTGATTAAGATCTGTCCTTACCACTTTAACTGGTGTCTGGTTTTGTTTCTCTTTGATACTTGCTCATTATAGCATGTCTAGACCCTAGCATGGTACCTGGCACATAGTAGATGCTCAATATATACTTCCTGAATTAAAAGATTGTCGACTAAAATCATCCATTTGTTCTAGTTATCTATTGCTGAGTAGCAGACCATCCCAAAACTTCATGGTATGAAATGCCAACTACCTTATCATAATCATAGATTCTGTGGGTCAAGAATTCGAAAAGGGCATCTCTTTTCTCCACCCCATGACATCTGGGGCCACAGATGAGGTGACCTGGATGGCTGGGGTGACTTGAATGGCTAGGGTGGAGCCACTTCCAAGATGGCTTCTTCACTTATCTGTCTGATGCCTGGGCTGGCTGGGCCGGCAGAGGTTTGGGCGCAGCTTGCACTGTGGACAAGATATCCTACCTGGGACTTCGCCAGCATGACGATACCAAGATAGTCGGATTTCTTCCCTGGCAGCTCAAGGCTCCAAGAACAGGGATCCTATAAACAAGATGGAAGCTTCGTGGCTTCTTATTCCTAGCCAGTGAAGTCACAGAGCTTCCTTTCTACCATCATCTAATGATTGAAGCAGTTACAGGTCTGCCCCTATTCAAGGCAAGGGAGTATCCAATAACTTGCAGCCTTGTTTTAAATCCACCACACTATCAGAGCCAGATTTGTGGAGAATTCTTGTGCAATTTATCCTGCGTATCACTTTGGATTAGATTTGGCTGCATAGGACAGAAAACCATAGGAACAGTGGCGCAAACAAGACAGAAGCTTATTTCTCCCTCACATAAGCAAAACCTGGATGGAGGGGCGCCTGGGTGGCTCAGTTGGTTGGGTGACTGCCTTCGGCTCAGGTCATGATCTCAGGGTCCTGGGATCGAGCCCCGCATCGGGCTCCCTGCTCGGCAGGAAGCCTGTTTCTCCCTCTCCCACTCCCCCTGCTTGTGTTCCCTCTCTCGCTGTCTCTCTGTCAAATAAATAAAAATCTTAAAAAAAAAAAAAAACAAAAAAAACCTGGATGGAGTCCATCAGGACTGGTTCAGTGTCTAGAGTGTACGGACCTGGGTCCTGCTGCCTTGTTGTGTCCCCAGCCTCAGTGCATGCCTTTTACCTCATGACCCAAGGTGGTTGCTTGAGCTCTAGTCTTCATATCCACAGTCCAGCCGGCAGGAAGAAGGAAGGGTAAGGAAGTTTCCTTTAAGGACATTCCTCAGAAGCGCTGTCTGACAACCCCACTTACAGCCCGTTGGCTGCACACTCAAGTCACATGGCCATGCCTAGCCGCAAAGGAGGCTGGGGATTCTAGGCTTTAGAATGGCTGGTCTTTAGACCATGGGCCCAGAGGAACAAACAAGCAAAAACTCAGGGTTCTACTCTTAAGGAAGGAGAGGAGAATGGATGTTGGCAGACATCCACTGGTGTCAGCCACACCTTTTTACTCCATTTTATTTCCTGTTCTGCCACTGACCTGCTGTGGGCTTGGACGACATACTTTCTTTGGTTGTTGTTACCAGTTTCTCTGGTCATTAGGGAGGAGGGGGCTATAATCTAAGAAGGAAGCTCAAAGTATTAAGCAGATAAAAGTGTCAGTGCTCTGTTTTTAGGGAAGGGAACTGGGGCCCCACCCAGCCAGCCTCTTTTTACTTTCCTGGGTGGTCCCCTGGGGTTTCTGGGAGCAGATTTTTGAAAACTCCCATATTGGGTTACCACTGATTGCCTTCTAGCAACAAGACCTCAAGAATTCATATTCATTACATTTTGAGAGTAACTCCTCCCTGCACTTAACCAGGTTGTGCCTTCCATCAGATACCTCCCCAGCGAGTTCAAACAGATGCCACCAGAAGGCAGCGTGAGACACAAAGCCAGCTATTAATTGAGTATTCTGTGTGTCTGACACCATACTAAGCTCTGCGATCATGAAGTCACCACAGCTCATACTCTAAGTCCCTTACATTTTTTTTTGCTGTTGTTACAAGGCTAGGGTAAATTAAGCACGATCCAATGCACCAAGCATTTTAACAAAGTATGTTGGTGTTATGGAGTGAATTGAGCCCCTGCAACAAGATATGTTGAAGTCCTAATCCTTGGTACCTATGAATGTGAATTTCCTTATTTGGAAATAGGGTCTTCACAGACATAATCAAGTTAAGATGAGGTCATTAGAGTGGGCCCAAATCCAATTTGACTGGTGTCCTTAGAAGAAGAGTAGGAAGAGACACAGAGACAGACACAGATGCACATCAGAAGAATGACAATGGGGGCAGAGATTGGAGTGACGTGTGCATAAGCCAAGCAATGGCAGGATTTCAAGCAACACCAGAAACTGAGAGAAAAGTATGGAATGGATACCCCCCTAGAGCCTTCTGAGAAAGCATAGCCTTACTGATAGGACTAATTGATTTTGGATTTCTAGCCTCCAGAACTGAGAGGGAATACATTTCTATTGTTTTCAGCCACCCAGATTGTAGTACTCTCTTATGGCAGCCCTAGGAAACTAATAGAGATGGTCAGTTTGATGTGTCAGCTTATCTAGGTTTTAATCCCTAGTGTATTCAATCAAACACTTAGATTTTGCCATGAAGATATTTTGTAGATATAACGTCTATAATCAGTTGACTTTAACTAATGGAGATTTAGCTAGGTGGGCTTGATTCAATCAGTTGAAAGTCTTTAAGAGCAGAACTGAGGTTGCCTTAAAAAAGAAGAAATTCTGCCTGTGAACTGTAGCTTCAGCTCACGCCAGAGAGTTTCAGCCTTCCCTTCCTGATGGCCTACCCTAAAGATTTTGGACTTGCTTAACCAGCCCCTGCAATTGTGTAGATCAATTCCTTGCCATAAATCTCTTAATATATCTCCTGGTTCTTTTTCTCTGGTGGAACCCTAACTAATACACAAAAGGATGATGCAATCTTGAAATGCATTTGCCTAAAGGGCCGTGGAGTTGCCCAAGGCTTCACAGAAGAGGTGGCTTTTGGCAGGGCCTTGAAGGGTAGAGAGGGGTTTGCCAGGTGGGGCAGGGCCTTTCAAGCAGGGAGAACACCATATGCAAAGGTTTGGAATGGTGAGACCCCTCTCCCCTCCGCCCCAGTGGCATGGGGGTAGGCCTTGGAGTCACATTCTGAGGACCTCTTTCTGTCAAGTTAGGGACTTGAGCGTTGGTGCTGGAGGCCAGGCCTTTTTTTTTTTTTTTTTAATTTCTCTTAGTTCTGTCTTTTTATTTATTTTTTATGTTTTGAATTGAGATATAACTTTCATAAGTCAAGTGCATATTTTTAAAAGAAGAACATGATGATTTTTTACTTATGTATCCATGTAATCCACACCGAGATCAAACATGGAATCAAGGCTGGGGTAAGGGTGAGTGAGGTCAGTGACTTGAGCTGTGCAAGCACAGGGTCAGATTCTGCCTTTATTTAAAATTTTGGTGTTTTGTTCAGGGATTTTTTGCTCTCATTTTGATTTTTAAAAGTATTATTTATTTTTGATCACTGATTTTGTTTTGTTTTGCCCATCCTATAATTTTCTGCCTTAGAGACAGCCTCATGCCTCACTTTAGTCTTGACCCTGTTAAATATTTCCATCACCCCCACTGGCTCCTTCATTTCTTCAGTCCCCTCAAAGGAAACTTCTAGCCAAGGTCAGGGGAATGGATGGCCTGGGTGTGTGCGATCATATTACGGGTGCTTATGCATGTGTTTCTCTGCGGGGGGTGGGGGGATTCATTCCTTTGATCCGTTTATTGGAGTCCTTTGTAAAGTGAGGACTAAGAAATGCAGAGATTGACTAACAGGGAGCCAGAGGAAGGTTTGTTATTCAAGGGATCTAAACAGTATTACGTCTTTGGTAGGCCTGCAGGCCTCAGTGACACAGTCTGGTGTATATTAGCCTCACTGTGCCTCAGTCCCCGCATCTGTGAAATGGAGTTGATAATCACTACCCCTGTTACTGGACTGCTTAAGGGTCCCATGAGATAAGGGAGTAAAATTCATAGCACCCTACAGGGCGCACTCAGCCAGTATTCACTGAGCGCTACGATGTGCCAGGCGCTAAGCTGAGGGTTTTACGGCCGTCACCTTGTTCATAACGCACACAGCCCAACGAGGAAGGTGCGAGTTCCAGCAAGCCCGCGGCGGAGGCGGGGGGGGGCAGCGAAGACCAGCCACGCTCCGCGACGTGAGGGCCGCGCTCCTGCGGGCGGGGTGGGCGGGAAGGGGGCGGTGCGCAGGTGGGGCGGGCCGGGGGCGGGGCGGCGCGGCGCGGCGCGGCGCTGCGGTTCCGGGATCCGGGTCCGGGTCTGCGCCGCCGCCTCCGGGCGACCAGAGCGCTGGCCCCAGCTGGCGGGCGCATGTGGGGGCGCGCGGCCTGGAGGCGCTGCCCGCGGGGGCTGCGGCGCGGCCGCGAGGCGCTGCTGACGCTGCTGGCCTTGCTAGCGTTGGCCGGGCTGGGCTCTGTGCTGCGGGAGCGGCGCGGGGCCAGGGCGGCTGAGCCAGGACCCCTGCGCACCCCGCGCCTGGGGCGGCGCGACCCGGTCCTGCCGCGGCCGCCGGTACCCGGCGACGCTCTGGGCGCGCGGGGCGAGGCGGTGCAGCTGCAGCTGCAGGACGAGGAGCTGCGGCTGCAGGAGGAGAGCGTGCAGCTGCACCAGATCAACATCTACCTTAGCGACCGCATCTCGCTGCACCGCCGCCTGCCCGAGCGCTGGAACCCGCTGTGAGTCCGCAGGTGGCGGGGGGGGGGCAGGGAACACTTACCGCGGGGTCCCGGGGCCTCAGTTTCTGCATCTGTGAAGTGGCGGGATGGAACCGGGGTCTCGAAATACCTGGGGATCACGCATCTTACTGAGTCTTTCTCGGAAGTGGGCAGTGGAAGGGGTCATATGGGATGGGGGGACGCAAGAAAGTTTTAAAAAATGAAAATAGGAAAAAAAAACTCAGAAATTGACGAATCTTTTACTGGGTGGTCTCTTGTCTCCTTACCTCTTGAGAAGGTCTGTCATTCGGCTCTAAAAAAGTGGCGGGAAGGTGGGGGCTAAGCAGACAGGTGTAAGATGAGACCCTCTTTGGGTGCTCTTCCTGGTTTCACAGCACCCCCAGTCCAGCTCTGCCAGGACTCTTAGGTTTCGAGGTAGGCTCCACTTTCACTTATCTGTATGCCAGGCCCTTGAATGAACCAGGAGGGGAGGGCGCTCCAGCAGGAGAGGTAAAGGTCGCTGGAAGGCCAAGTCCGAGTTTTCCCCCTCACCCGGAGCTGGATTCCTGAGCATTAGGTAGAGGAAGGCAGGAGCGAGGTGGTGGGAAAGGCTCCTTCTGGCCGAGGTCCAGCTGGGCTCACGCCTGTGGATGGTGCAGGCCCTGAGCCCTTGTGGTCAGAGGCCTAATTCCTATGAGAGCTGCTGGCTGGGTGGGTTGTGGCCCCTCCTCCCCCGCCTAAGCGAGAAGGGAACAAGCTGGTAAGAGGACAGACCTCCTGGCCTTCTTTCTCCTTCCCTCCGTTGGTGGGGATCTTCCAGGTCCCCACTTGAGCCCCCTTCTTAAAGACTTTGAGGAAAAGAGGACTGCGCCGGGGGGGGGGGGGGTGGGGGGAGGTAGGCGGGATTAGCTAGTGGGGCCGCCTCCTGTGTTCACTGAGCACCTGCTGCTCCTCCTGGTTCCCTGGCATGCCTGCTTTAGAGGTGTGGCAAAGGTCTCAGGGAGGACAGTGACTCACCTAAGGCCCCACAGCTGGAAATTGGTGGAACTGGTTGGGGGGGATGGGACCCTCCTGGCCCCCTAGGCATTGTGCTGATTTCAGGATTTGGGGAGTGGTGAATCCTTGGCTAGGGAAAGCATGAATACCTGCTCCAGGAGTTGCTCCCCACCCCCTTTTGGCAGAGCTGGGAAGGACTTGGGCTTCACCGTCCTCCCTATTTTCCCGTGTCTGTTCATGTCTAGCCTCATGCTTTTGTCTGAGGCATTTTCACTGTTACTACACTGTCTACTCTTTTTGAGTAGAACTTTGTTAGTGTTGGTAGCAGTTTCCTCCATCTGCAAAATAAGGAATGAGTAAAAAATAACACATCCTAGGAATTCATAAAACATCGAACACACCGTGCACTCAATTCTTCCTAGTTTTCCCCCCTTCCCTGTTGCCAACGAGGTACTCAGGAGGTCGCTTTTAAGAGTCATCCAGGGATTGGTTGTAAAGTGTTTCTTTTCCGGGTTCCAGCTTCCTTTATTGTCCCAGGTTGAGAAATCTCTTTCACACGCAGTGGATAACCTGTGGGCCTATGGTTTTCCGTCTCCATGGTGACACAGCTGCCCTGTGTCCTATCAGGATTTGCTTATAGATCCTGCTGTTGCATTGACTCTGGGAAGTTAATCCAAACCCAGCATGATAAGAAGTATGAATGCCTCCTGCCTTTAATTCCTGCAGCAAGGCCTGTTGGATTATTGTTGCCTAGCTGGAGAGAAGGGTGAGCTTGATCTGTGTTGCTCTCAGCCAGACCAGGCAGTGAGGCATAACTTCAGTGTGGCCCATAAGGTCAGGGCCTTTTATGGAGACTCACATTTTTTTTTTTTTAAGATTTTATTTACTTTTTTGACAGAGAGATAGAGAGCACAAGTAGGCAGAGCAGCAGGGAGAGGGAGAGGGAGAAGCAGGCTCTGCTGAGCAGGGAGCCTCATATGGGGCTCAATCCCAGGACCCTGGGACCATGACCTGAGCCGAAGGCAGACGTCCAACCACCTGAGCCACCCAGGCACCCTGAGACTCACTTTTATTATAGTTCATACAAAGGTGAGCACCTAATCAGGGCCTGCGGTTTTAGCCTGAGAAATCAGAATGACAGAATATAAGTTTATAATCGGAGTGGCGGTACATGTGGGGGAGTCCCTTGGGACTTTAACTGATAAGCAGAGGGATGGTTAAGATCCTTGAATGTCAGAAAGGGAAAGGCCCTGAGGGAGATCCAGTCTAACCAGAGAGTAAAAGCCGTGCCCCGTGCCCCCAAAGTAACATGCAGATCCGGGGCAGAGCTGATCTAAAACCCAGATCTTTTCTTCCCTCCTCCCTTTTGGGATACAGGCAATGATTTATCTATTTATTTTAATTATAAAAGCAATACATGTTCACTCTAGAAATTTTGGCATATACAGAGAGGCAAAATAAATAAATAAATAAAAATCATCTATAAACCTACTGCCCCAGGAGAACCACTGTTAACATTTTGCTGTGTATCCTTTTAGACTTTTCCAGGTATAGAAATGGATTTTGAAAAATACACGTATGGGTATGTAAATGAGAACCTATTCAAACATGGGTATGTACATAGGTTCACACACATTTTTAACCGGTCTTTATACTACATTGGATGAACCTGTTACCATAGGCAAGGAGTCCGGAACTACCAAGGGACTCTGGCTTCTTCTTCTTAGCGACTGCAAGCCTTGAGACTGTGTCTACTCTCTTGGACAGGCCAGACCCGTAGGGATGCTTCAGCGTTGGCTCTAATTCCTTGCAACTTGGTGTAGACCGCAGCTCTTCAGTGAGTCTGATAAGTCACAGGCCAGTGAATTAGAGCACAGTTTTATTTCTGTTATTTCTGTTGCAGAACTCACAAACACCATCTCCTTTGAGCCAGGCAAGGAGATGGAACTTTTACTCTGAGATGGCAGTAGGCCAAAGTGGGGAGCCAGAAAGCTGGATCTGTGGCCTAGGGGAACTTTGAGAAATACTGATGCCGAGGACTTTCCCCAGAACAATTAAATAGAATTTCTGTAGGTAGGGCCTAGGCTGAGGCTGATGTGCAACTAAGGTTGAAAGCTACTGTCTTAGGGTCCGTGGGGTTTAAAAAATTACTCAGAAGATTAAGGGTGGGTGCTTTTGAGCAAGTGGGAGAATACCAGAATTAGGGAAAGTAGGGATTCAAAACAGATGGCCTGTCGTTGAAACTAGCGATGACATCACAGTCAGTTGTAAGTTGTGTCACGAGTAAATGATTGCTAATGTTGTGCCAATATTTGCAAAGAGTTTCAGTTTTTATAGCTCAGAGAAGCCTTGAGATAATCACTATAATGTCATTCTTGTTTGCATTCTGACCTGTTTAGCAAGTGAGAAAGACACTGTGGAGTGACAGTGCTATTGGGGCTGTGCATTTCCACAGGCACGTGGATGGAGATGCCATGTGTGAACATCAGACGTTCCCTGCCATAGCAGAGGGATTTTGAACAGCTGTTTAGGAAAGTGTGCCAACAATACATAGGTGTCCCTTGAATGCTTGCTCTGGTGTTAGCCTCATTAATGCTATACTTGCAGATGTGTATCTGAGTTCAGGGATCAGGACTTGGGTGCTGGGATGGTGAAGAGTTTCAGAATAGCTCTAAATAGGTAATTCAGCAAACAGAGTAACATCCTTTCTTTGAGTCAGTGCTTTCAGTCTGCAGAACATGTTAGGTTTAGTTAGTATTCTCCTGATCCTTTTTCTATCCTTTTACTGTCATTCATTCTGTGTCCTTATGTTGTAGGTGTGTCTCTAAATAGCATGTCACTTGATTTTGTGTGGTCATTAAAGAAAACATCCAGACTGACAATCTTTGACTTTTAACTAGTATGTCCATATATATATATATTTTTTTTCTCGTACTTACAAGACGCTTTAGGTCTGATTTGATTATGCCATCTTATTTTATACTTTCTAATTGTTTTTGCTTCCCCCCTCCTTTTTTTTTTATGCTGCTTTTTGAGCCGATAGAAGTTTTTCTCTCCCCCTCTTATTCCACTTTTTTTCTCTACTAATTTGGCAGTTCTATTGTTTATTCTTATCTTTAGCAGTCAGTTTGAAACTATATATTCGAGTCAGCAGGATCTAAAGTTAATCACTAGCTATGGACCTTTGGGTGCTTTAACATTGGTCACCTTCCTTCCCAACTTACGTGCCATTTTACTCCAGGGTTTTAATTCTGTCTTTTTAAACCAACACATTAAAACATTTAAAAAATGTGGTATTTTTTTGTTTACGTTTACACACAAGGTTATCATTTTTCTCTGCCCTTCATTCATTCCTGAATGCTGGGTGGTCTTTAGATCTCAGAGAACTTTCTGGGGTTCTTTTCCTTCCTGAAGCATGTCATGTATTCATTACTGTAGAGAAAGTCAGTGTTGTGAATTCAGTTTTACTTATCTGAAAATGTTCTTATTTTGCTCTTGTTTTTTTTTTTTTTAAAGATTTTATTTATTTATGATGGAGAGAGAACACATGAGAGGGGGGAGGGTCAGAGGGAGAAGCAGACTCCCTGCTGAGCAGGGAACCCGATGCGGGACTCAATCCCGGGACTCCAGGATCATGACCTGAGCCGAAGGCAGTCGCCCAACCAACTGAGCCACCCAGGCGCCCTGCTCTTGTTCTTGAAAGATAATTTTATTTGGGTATGTAATTCTATATTGGTAGTCTGGCATTTGAAGAGACTATTCCATTGTCCCCTGACTTGCACCATGGCTGTAAGATGTCAATCCTGAGTGAGATTTGCGGATCATTCTTATTTCTTTGTCATTCATTCAAGGGTGTCTTTTATTTATTTAAGCATCTTAAGCATACTTATGCTCTGTGTCTCATAACTCTAATATCTAGATTTGTATTTTCTTGTTGTTCCTGGACTCTGAGGACTTTTTTTTTTCCTTTCCTGTAAGCTGAGTCATGCATTTAAAAGATGTTTTTTAAAGTATTTTATCAAGAA